CCTGCTGACCTTTTGGTTAGCAGCCACATGCCTTAACCACTGCACCACCAAAAAAACTAGAAAACCAAACTTGCTGCCATCAAGTTGATTCTGACTCATAGCAACCCTCATTGGGTTTCCAAGGCTGTAAATCTTTATGGAAGCAGATTGCCCAATCTTTCTTCCAGGGATCAGCTGGTGGATTTGAACCACCAAGCTTTTAGTTAGCAGCCAAATGCCTTAACTACTGCATTCACCAGTGCTCCGTACTGCACCACCAGCATTTGGTAAATGTTTTTACAGATATCTGAATTGAATTCCTTGACATATGCAGCTTACAGTTTGGCTTCGGTAGCTGAAAGAACTGCCAATAATTCTTTTCATTACGGATATTTTCCTGTTCCTATTTTTTATGATTTTCAAATTAACTTCAGGTTTGAGTTTTTGTTTGTCGGGGTTTTTTTTTTTTTTTTTCATAAACTGTTTTTCCTCATATAGCACAATGTCTTACTTGTGTTCACGAGAACTGGAATATTACTATGATTCACGTCCTAGGCAAAAGGAGCTGTAAATAAGATGCTGAGAGCTGACAAATTTGGGTGTTTAGTAGAGCAGATCTTTTTCTGCCTTCTGTTACATCAGAGCATCAACCATTGCATTAATTAACTGTTACCTGTTTTTCTTTGTATTGAATTTCTGTTTATGAGGAAAAACAAAAAGGTGATAAGTTGAAATTAAATTATTTTGCTCTTTTGATACTTTTTACCATGTCTCTATGTTCATGTTCCTTAGAATCTGTAAGGTAATTAGAACAATACCTGGTTCATACTAAGGAATCTAATGCTATTCAGCCTCATCCCATGCCATTTGTCTCATAGTGACCTTTCCACTTCTTAAATATGCCAACCTCTTTCCTGCCTCAAGGCCCTTATGGATGTTTCCTTTGCTGGAATCACAATAGTACCTAAGGCATCAGACTGCTAACCAGAAGGTGGTAGTTCAAACCCACCAGCCACTCCTTGGAAGGAAGGCTGGGCAATCTACATCCATAGAGATATACTGCTTCAGAAACCCAAGGAGGGGTCGCTGTGAGTCAGATTTGACTCAACGGCAGTGAGTCATCAATGTCAGATCTCCCACTAGACTGGAAGTTTCAAGAGAATGCAGTGGGACAGTAGTGGTTGTGCACTATATAGTTATTGAATGAATGGAATGAATAAATGAATAATTGAACCAACTCTGGAAGAGAGAACAGAATTATGTGAAATGGAAGGTTACATCTTCCAGGGTTGTAGTCAGGGCTCACGGCAGGTTCTTTCATTGTTGGCAGGAAAAGAGAAAAAATAAATAAATTATATATATATATATATATACATACACACACACACACACATATATATATATATACATATACATACATACATATACATACACACACACACAAATGTATATGTTAAATGGTAAAATTACAAGTATTTAATGGTTGAAATATTACAGTTGCATCTGTAAATTAATTGAACTCTGCCTAAATGATGATGAATTTAATCTTCCTATGGTATTAATTGCCTCCAGTAATTTGAGTATGTGGTTATTTGTGCTTTAAAATAATGCATTTTAAAAGAACATCTTAAACAGCTGACCACTTTAATAGTGAGTAAGTCAGGGTTCAAAATTGTAAGTAAAATTTAATCTACAGCGTGTGGATTTAGAAGGACAGATCCACCAAATGTCACCAGTATTGGTTGGTTATCTCTCAGGGATAGAATTATAGATGATTTTTAACCTTTCTTCTTTTCAGTAATCTCCATGTTTACTCTGAAGATGTATCCAGAACCGCAGCCTACTGATACTATATTAGAATTCTGTTTGGGATTATTATCCCTTGAGTATTGTCTCCCTGTTTTCAGAGACCTTTAAATAACAATGAACTTTTTGCTTAAAGATACTGAAGTTAAAAGAGTTTTAAAAAGTAACTAAACTAAACTGAAAAGATCATTTTAAATAGCATAAATGTTTAAATATTAATTCAAAATTGTTACTTTTAAGTAAAACATCTTAAAAAGATACTAATTTACAATCAAGACTGAGCCATTCTAGCTGCAGAATGTCTCACTGGAATGTCATAGTTCTAGGAGTGTGTGCTATATGTTTTCATCTAAACGGATGACATTTAGTTGTTTCACAAATTTCGTCCTTTCCTCTTCTTTTTTCCTCATTCTGCAATTCTTCCAAGTGATGTAAATTATCATGTATGTGCCAACAACTCTATAAACTGTTCTATCCTCAGCCTTTTTCCTGAGCATACTGTATTAATTGAGCCTTTTTTGTGGCAAGTCAGAGAAATTCAAACTAGTTTAAGCAGAAAAGATAGAAGGGCAAGGATGCTGTGAGGTCTGTGGAATGGGCAGGAGCAGAAACTAGGACACTGTTAGTGTGCTCCTTTTAGTCTCTGTGCTCTGTGACTCTCTAGGCAACTGCCTCATTCTTTCCTCTCCCCCAGTATATATGGCAGAAAGCATGACCTTGACTATTTTATTATGTACAGGAGTAGCTACCCAGGAAAGAAAAATCTAAAACTTAAACTAAATTTTCTCTTTGGATTCAAATGTCACAGGAGGGGCTATGCTTTAGTCAGGCATTTACTTCTCATCCAGTACGGGGGCTGGCAGTAAAAAAAATCCAGATAAACCCATGAGAAATTTACATCTTTAAAACAATTATGTCTTTTAATCACTTATCTTCTAGCTGTCAAGAATGAGACTATTTAATGCTTTATGCTTTTTGTTGACCTTTTACATTAAGTATCCTTCACTTGTAAATTAGAATTGTGAAGTAACTATGATATAGTCTTGAAATATTTTAAACATTTCCAAGAGTAAATACAGCCAGTGGTGGTATTCGTTTTTTTAAAGAGGCTGACATTTATTCCTTCTTCCTAATATTATGGTACACACAGGTCAGGTTAGGGTAATTTTGCTAGTTATTTTTTTTAAAAGTACAAATCCAGAATGTGAGTGTTAGAAGTTTTTTGCAGTGGAGTTGTAGGGAAGGAGTTGTTTCATATCCCCTCTATCCTAAGCTTAAAACTTTTCCCAGCGGATAAAATAGGGCACCAGAGTTGATTTTCAACTGGTTATTTAGAGATCATAGGCTGTGGCATTGTCCTGAGCCAAAAATTCAGAATAGGTTAACACGGGGAGCTGAAAGTGCTGAGAACTCTACTGTTAGCCCAGGGATTTGGGGATCAGAGAAAACACCTGACATCCTGTAGTTTTCTTTTGAAGGAAAAGGTGCTCATTTTGAAGGAAATGAAGGAGGATTTTTTCTCTTTGGGATTTCTTTGGGTGGTAGGCCTCCTCCTTTGGGTCTCAGTGCTCTGAATATGGGTTTGCTGATTCAGTAGCATCCCTAGTGACCTGGTTTTTGTGTTTGTGTTTGTGTGTGTGTGTGTATGGTGTGTGGGGGGGTCCTCTTTATCTTCCAGAGGGACACATTACCAGTGCTTTGCATGAGATTGTTCATTCTCTTTTCATTGGCTCTTGTAGTGGGGGTGGGAGGGTGGCATGATGGAGACACAGTTTATTTACCTCCTCTGTGCTCACTCAGCTCAGAGGCACCTTGGAGCTCTGTCTGCCCATTCTGGCATCTCTTTCAAGCGGATTTTGCAGAGGTAGAATGTGATTTCTGACAGCTTTACAAATTTACCTCTCTTTTAATAGTTTTAAAATGTTTCAACTTCAGGGATTTACCACTAAAAAGTTGTTACTCAGAATAGTGGATGACTTTTCTGAGCCTGTAGCTCATAGTATTGTTGTGTGTTAATTTGGAAGGAATGCAGCTAGTATTCCACACATCCCTGAAGCAGAGCAAGTTCCTTAATAGCTGTGTTGCTTTATTTTTCACAGACTATTACATAATCATTTAAATCATAAATCTGAATTATATTACTAAAAAACTGACCAGTGTTCTTCACATAGTAATCATTTTATATAAGGAAAAAAAAAACAAAAAACTAGTAGTAGCAAAAAAAAGTTTCCATTATGGAAATAGGAAATAAAAATTACAACAACCAAAAAAAATTCCAGAATATATGAAGTCATGACTAAAAATCACTTATTACACATGTAGTACATTGTAATTTTATTATAGTAACCGTCTCTGAAATCCCCCCAGACATATAACAAAGGTAAATACAGTTATCTCTCAATTCTCATTATTTTTAACCTGAAAAATATGAAATGTTGATGTATTAGGATTGGGGAATATAAAGTTATAAGAAATAAATTCTTTTTTTCTTCTGGAAAACAATGAAATTTTGCAGGCAGATAAAGTATAAATTATATGGATAGAATTATTGGGTGCTAACGGAGCTTGAAGGAGCTCTGGTAGCATAGTGCCTAAGGCACTTGACTGCTAACCAGAAGGCTGGCGGTTCAAACCCACCAGCCACTCCTCGGAAGGAAGGTTAGGCAATTTACTTCTGTAGTGATACTGCTTCGGAATCCCAAGGAGTGGTCGCTATGAGTCGGGGCCGACTTGACGGCACGTAACAACAACAACAACAGAGCTTGAAAGGAGCTCTGGTGCACAGTGCCTAAGGTATCTGACTACTAACCAGAAAAGTTGGTGGTTCAAACCCACCAGCCACTCCACAGAACCAAGACTGGGTGATCTACTTCCATAAAGATTTATTGCCTGGGAAACCCAATGGGGGTCGCTGTGAGTTGGAATCTACTCGATGGCACTGAGTTTTGGGTTTTTTGGTGTTTTTTTTTTTTTTTAAATGGCGCTTCATAGCCCAGTGTTCACATAATAGAGTGGGCATCCCTGAAGCTGCTGGGCCAGGTGAATACCAGTGCTGGATAAGGAAAATCTATCAAAGTGTAGATACAAATTGTTGATCCAGGGCTCTCCAATTTTGCGAACTTCTCCATGCCACCACCACCAAAATCAACTAAAAACAAAGGCTTTATTCTTATACTATTTCTCTTAGTTCAGAACTTGTATTTTTTTTCTTTCAGAAAACTGAAGAATGGGAGAAATATAAGACTGAAGCAGACATGGAGGAGTATGTTTGGAAAAATAGCTCCTCAGAAAAAAATATCCTAGAAACACTTCTCCAAATTAAAGCTGCTGAGAAAAATACAGAAGTGAATAAAGAAGAGCTCCTTGGTACTGAAGAAATTGAAGATTACAGAAAGTCTGTTACTAGTCTTAAGAATGAGGGGGAAAATGAAAATACCATTTCTCAGTACAAAGAATCAGTCAAGAGGTTATTGAATTTGACATGAAGTAGAAAAATCTGCACGATTTATTAATTCTATGATATGTATGTAATTGATACCTAATTTGATATAAAATTGAAAATGTTAAAAAAAAAAACCTGTTGTTTAACATCAAAGTTACCATTCTTTTCATACTAATGTGCAATAGGAATAATTATTCAAAAGTTTTCTTATTTAGCCACTTGGCATTTGAACTAATCAGAAAGTCTGTTACTTTTTTCTGGTTCAAAGTGTTTTGATTTCATTTCTACTGTAAGAACTTTAATTTGTATGTGGCTGTGTCACCTGCTATATTTCTTTCCCCACAAGTTAGCATTTATTGGCTACTTTTGAATAATCATGTTTGTTTGAGAAACTGAGCCCAGAACTTGATCCCCTGACCTGCAATTCAGTGCTTTCATTTTCACATGATTTCCATTGTTTGTAGTTCCCAATTCTGTTTAGAAATAGGACCACAGTGATGCTTTCAAGCCTAAAACATTTCTTCCAGGATAGATAAAACACAATTATTAGGTCAGGTTTAGAGCATACTCTAAGAAATATAAAGACTCAGTATATTTAGAGACCCTTACAGAGTTACAGAAAACTCAAAGAAACAGGATTAAAGAAGGAAATGTTTTGAAAACAGTTAGAAACAGAGGGGAGAATGGTCATTTAGGAACCTGGGAAGAGGTGGTAGGTTGAGGTGGTCCATCCTGTGGTAATAATACAGTTCAGAGGAAAACACGTGCCACAATCATTGACTTTTGCTTGATGGCACGATCTTAGAGCTGTAAGAATAATATAATACTGCCGCAAAAAGATAATAAGAGTTGCAATGATTTTAGCAATAATTAAGCAGCAAAATTTGTCCTTAATTAGATTCCTGGTCCCTGGGTGGCCCAGAAAAGGTAGAACTCAATTACTAACCTAATGGTTGGTGGGTTTGCACCCACCCTGCAGAACCATGGGACAAAGGCTTGGCAATCTGCTTCCATAAATATTATAGCCAAGAAAACCCTAAGACATATGGGATCACCGTGGATCAGAATTGTCTCAATGGCAATGAGTTTTGATTTTTGTTTTTGCATTTAAAAATCAATCTAGAATCAACAATGAACATTATAATATTAATCCTTATATTGAGGTTTCTAGGGGATACTTTTTGTTGTATTTATACTCAGTAACTTCTGACTTCAACTCTAATATAACTTAGAAATTGCTCAAACATTTAGACAACTAAGAAATAGAACAAGTCTGTCTCCTTAATTATAGGATACTTTTAGTACTTTAGTTACTTCTTCACCTGTTTTCTTTCCAGTATTGGTATTTCATAACTGGACAATTATTGCAGACTTTCAGAAGGTCTGCCAGGTGCATTGCTGGAGAGATTTCAGTATCAAATGGGTATAACAACCCTAATCTTAGTTACAGGAGTTCTGGTAGTGTAGTGCCTAAGGCACTCGACTGGTAGCCAAAGGCTGGTGGTTGAAACCCACCAGCCACTCCTCGGAAGGAAGGTTGACCAATCTACTTCCGTAGTGATACCACCTCAGAAACCCAAGGGGGGGTCGCTATGAGTCAGGTCCGACTCAACAGCACATAACAGCAGCAACCTTAGTTACTGACTGGACCCTGAGATTTTAAATTTTATTCAGAACATCTCTTGTTCTTTTTACTTCTAGTAAGGACATGATTTCTAGCCTCATTTATTTTTGCCTTTCGGCTGACACTTTGGTCTGGTTGCTCTCCAGCCTAAGTTTACTCAGTTTATCTGATGTTCAAAGGTACAGTCTGAGGAATAGTAAAGGTTTATGAGTTTGTTTTCTTATAAAAGTAAATTTGTCTTTCTCAAATTATGATCTTTCTATGAAATGGTATAAACTTTAGAGAATGAGTAGAATTCTGAGAAGCCCTGAAGAAGAAAATAAAAGTTTTATCAGTCAGCTCTAGTTTGTTGGGTGGCATTTAAACAATTCATATAAACTTTAAAAAAAAAAAAGAATGTATAAATAATTTTTAAGACAACATCTTGGGTTATTTATTTAAATATATTTTTGGGACAATTTAAATCTTGACCCAAACCCACTACCATCAATCAAGTCAATTCCAACTCATCGTGACCCTTTAGGACAGAAACCCTATTGGGTTTCCAAGGCTATAAATCTTTATGGAAGCAGACTGCTTCATCTTTCTCCCATAGAGTGGCTGGCGAGTTCAAACTGCCATTCTTTTGCTTAGCAGTCAAAAAATGACTTTCCAGGATGAAATTAAGGGCCTAAAGTTTAAGATCATTAGAAGCTTGAGTTACAGTTTTGTACAGTTCAGAGTCTTTAAGGCATAAGTGTCATGTCAGATTGGGACAGATTTGGGAGCTGAAATAACTAGAGGTAATATTTACACAAGGAGTCCTCCACAATGGTTGAGTGCTCAGCTGCTAACCAAAAGGTCAGTGCTTTGAACCCACCAGCTGCTCAGCAGGAGAAAAAGACCTGGTGATCTGCTCCTGACAAGATCACCTCCTAGGAACCTTATGGGGCAGTTCTACTGTGAGTCAGAACTGAGGGCACAGGACTACATGGGAAACAATGTATACATAGGAGGGATACAAACTAAAACTCCCAAACTTTATTTGATAGAAAACTACAAGAGCTCAGTACTACAATTATTGGAAAGCACTTCTGTTTTAGAAAATGAAGTAGATGGATTAGGATTGAGATGGATTAATCATCTGAACATAGAAAACTCGATAAAAATTAGGAGGCATTTATTAGTGAGTCAGTAGTATCTGTAACACTACTTTTTTGCTCAAACAACAGAAATAAATTTTTTTTAAACTTGACAGTAATTTGAACTTGATTGGGAGAAAAATCTGATGATTTTTATGGTATTACCCTCTGTATCTTTTCTTCAGGCTTATTGGAAAAATAGGCTGTTATTGTAAGCAGTGGTTTCAAGCATGGACTTGTGAACTAGCCTGTGTTTAAGTTTCTAGTTCTATTAACTAGCTGATTTCAGGCAAAATGCTTCACCTCTTTGCCTCAATTTCCTCATCTTTAAAATGAAATAATAATACTATAATGGTTTTTAATAGTATCCTAACTCAGATTTGTCAAGATTCAATGAGTTTATACATGTAAGGCACTTAGGACTGTATCTCTCACGTGGTGCTAAACAATAATAACAGAAGTCAGAATTTTGCAACTTTGGCAAAGGGTACACTACTCAAAAAATGGAAATAATTTAAAAGGCAGTTAGGTTTATCAAACACTAATTTTTAGAAACCAGTAGGCATGAGCATCCTGTATATTTTTTAAATGAAACTGCCCTTATCTTACAGAAAACAAAAAAAAATGATACTCAAAGTTTAAAATCTCCCTACAACTTTTACTATTAAGAGTTCTCCTTCACAGTGTAGCATTTTTTAATTTGTTTGGATCCTGACTTTCTCCGTCCTGGTTTATAATGGCCCTGTTGCTTCCGACAGCATCCAGATACCAAGATGACTATACAACAGCAAAGAAAGATGACAGTGGTACATAATGCGACAGGAACCAGCCACATCTTTGAAGTCACAGATGCCCCATCAGGTGTCTTGTCTTCAGTCTCAGCTGTGTGGTTTCTGGTGCTGTACCCTTTGGTTTTGTTTAGTAATTGTTTGCTACTATTGAATTGGGACGGAATAGGCATTTGGGAAAGTTTTGTGTCTGAGGGCACAAAGAAAGGAGAAATGGTCTTGTCATCTGGAATGTTGATGAAATCAGTACTTGGTGACACCATATTTACCTTTGTGGTAATGGAATCATTCACAGAAGTGAATCTTGCCCAAGAATCTGTGGTTAATTCCTTGGAATAACCAGTATTATTTGTATTTACAACCAAATCTTGATTTGTGGTTGGTGATGGAGCCTCTATTGACAGTAGCATTTGGTGTACCATAGTGGTTTGCTGTTTATCTAAATTTATAGCTTTTAGAATTCTTAGTTTGTCCCACCTATTAGATGAAGAACGAGTATTTAGATATCTGGGAGGTGATTGTTCAAAGACCAGCAAATCTGGATCTATACCTGAAAGATAAAGAAAGCATCATTTGTTTCTTTTTCCCCCAAAAGATCACAGTTTGAAAAAAAATTTTTGGCTTTGCCAATTTGAATTATTGAACTAAGGTTATTTCAAAACTTTTATTTTTTTCTTGCTTCTGTGAGGCTTAAAAACATACTGGCTACATTTGAATTTTTCTTGAGGACCCTCAAGAACATTTATGCTCATCTACTAACTTAATGGTTGATGATTGAAACCCACCCAACAACACTCCAGAAAAAAAGGCGTGGCAGTCTAATTCCATAAAGATTACAGCCAAGAAAACCCTATGAAACATACTGATAACATTGTGAAAATTGTAACCAGTGTCACAGAACAATGTGTATAAAAATTGTTAAATGGAAACCTAATTGGCTGTGTAAAGTGTCACCTAAAACAACAGCAGCAAACCTTATGGAGCAATTCTACTCTAAGGGGGTTGCCCTAAGTTGGAATGGACAACAAAGTTTACTTTTTCTTGTTTTTATTTTTGTTTTTTAAATCATTGTGTGCTTCTGAAGGTTAAAAACTACTGGCTTCACTTGTATTTATCTTAACTTTCTAGGACAGTTATTGTTACAAAAAATTTGGCTAAACCAAGAAGCATGCTTTGTGTCAGTCAGGACTTTTGAGCTACAGTAGCAAATATTAGTGCAAGAGCTGAAGATACACTACCCACGTGAGATACTGTAGCATTTTTTATAAAGATAAACATAATAGGGTTTATGAAATATAACTGTATTCAAAGTCATGAACAAAGTCCTACATATCCTCCCTTTTCAGTCCCTGAAGGTCCTGACTTTGTGTTCAGTATTATCTATCTCCCTGTATGTGAACTCCTTTCTCTGTGACTAAAGATGTGCACCACTATTGGTTTGCTTTAAAAGAGAAGGAAAAAAAAAAAAAAACTCAACAGTTCACAGCTGTCCAATTCTTCCCTCTTGGCAAGCGCACAATTTCTCTCCCTTCTCTCTGTCTTTTTTGCCAAAGGTATCAATGTCCATTTCCTTTCTGAGTATTTTGCCTCCTATAGGCTTGTTGCTATCCTCACTACTGTGTCAAAATTATGCTTCTGAGGTAATTAGTAGTTTCCTGACTTCTTGATTGTTTATGACTCTTCTTTGGCCTCCCTGTCCTGTATACATCCTCTGGCCATTCTCTCCTTAAAGCTTTTCTCCCATGAGTCTCTGGGCCTGACTTCCTTGGGACTTTACCCCAGACCCCTGTCTCTCTTTTGCTGGTTCTCTTCTCTAACTCTTAATTGTAGGGTTTCTATAATCTTCAGTCCCTAGTCTTCCACTGTTGTTTTCTGTTTACATCCTCCCTCAAAGAGATTATCTTCATCACCTGTCACCACCACATTGATGGCACTAAAACCCCTGTCACTGATGTGTTTCTCCTGTGGCCTACTAGAGGTTCCCCTTGGGATCTCACACTATCTCTCATTCAGGATGCCCAAACCCAAAGTCATTTTGTTGATCTCCTGCCACCATTCTTCTGTCAACCATGTTGGAAACTTAAGAATGATTTTTGGTTCCTCTCCCTTTTGTTTCAACTCCTCTCTCCCCTTCTTTTCATTCTTCCAAAGAGTAGCTATGTCCTATCCAATCTCCTTTCCCAGTGTTGTGGGGTAATCATCCCTCCTCTTCATTTCAGCTGCCACCACCTTGCCCAGACCTAATGCCTCACTGATTATATTTTCCAATCTGTATCCTGCATATACTTTTTCTAGACTGAGATAACCAGGCTTACAAAACTTTTATTATGGCATTTTCTCTTTAAATACCTCTGACAAAGTCAAACAGAACTTTGTCCAAGCCCTTTTGTTACCTAGCCCCACCCCATCTTAGCCATATTTTTGTTACGAGCCAATATGTGTCTTTATTGTAGCCAGACCAGTTTTCTCTCCCATGGCTTAATATAAAATTCCTTACCTTGCCTCTTCCATGAAATCTCCCCTGAATAATCTAGCTTGCATTAATCTCATTTTGAGCATTTGAACTTGAGACAGGACCAAACCAAAAACCAAACTCACTGCCATTGAATCAATTCCGACTCATAGCAACTCCCTTTGGGTTTCCGAGGAGGTAAAACTTTACAGAAGTAGATTGCCCAGTCTTCCTTCCGCACTTGAGGCAGTATCACACATTTTTTTTTTAATTTTAATTATATATTTTATACTCTTTGTAAAACTTGTCACATCAATTAACTGGATTATATAAGGAACTCGAAGGCAGAGACATAGCTGTGATATGTGTAATGTGGAGCACAGTTGAATTAGCCTATAGCAATTTGTTCAATAAGTATAAATTGATAAATTTATCTCCTTTATATTTTGACAACAAAAAAGCTTTTTATGGTCACTGATTTACATACTGTGATTACCTACATGGGCAAAGGATACTTAAATATGTGTTTTGTTTTGTTTTTTTTCTAAAAATACACTGATGGTCTTTGGACCAATGATACACTGATTATGCCAGGAAGTGGTGACAAATTTCTTAGTCCTTAACCTCCATCTTTGCAGAACCCTTGTATGCAGTGTTCATAGTCCTCAAAACTGCCACAGAGCAATTTCTTGATTTTCTAGTTATACCTTCAGTCACTGCAGTGGAAATGTCTACTTTGGCTTCTGCTAAGGGCACTTGGTATAAATGAAATATAATGCTTAAGTTCTTACTCAGTGACATATGCTTTGTTATCACCTGGAATAGGCTCCTCATTGTTGAACATGCCAAGTTAAAGGGAATTTCTGTTTAGTTTTTGCTCCAGATACTCAAAACCTTTCCAGAAAGAGCTTAATGGAAAGTAATAATGTAGGGACTCATACATGGCTATTGCCAGTCAGTTTCGAGGCTGTATGCCTCTACAAGAGTATTACCAACATTTTTCAAAAGTCTTGAACTATATAAATTGTTACCTTCTGTTATGTTGTACAAAATGGCACCAGCTCCTGGCTGTAATATACAGTTCTCCAGTGTGGGGCAGTGAATATGGAGGCAGTTGACATTGTCATGAACAGGATCATGGTAGAAGACAGCCAGATTACAGGAAACTGTGAAGGAGGCAGACAAAGTACATGTGCAGTTGGTGATTTCCACATGAGTTGTGAGTAATTATATTTCAAGAACACTGGATTAACTTGGGTGTGTTGCAGGGTTATATTCAGAGAGTTTATAGAACATTATGAATTACTGTAACTGTTTCTGTGAATTTGGAAAATGCCTTCTTAAAATATCTACTGATTCTTCTCATAATCTTTCATACATTCTTTCATACATTTCACTCATTCCACATAGGATTACCTGGAATCATTTCCCAATCCCAGTATTTTATGTTAGTGAAAAATTCAATTCGCTACAAAAACCTCTGGTGAGTTTTAGATCAGGTTTCTCAGTGCAGTGCCTTCTCAGAATGCTAAGGTTATCAGAGGAAAAAAAAAAAAAGGAAAATAAAAAGACGAGTGCTGCAACAGAAGAAGAAGGAATGACAGGAAGGGCAAAAACAGTAATGACTGCATTATTGGGTGAGGCTTAGCTGGTGGACAGGCAGCAAGCCAAGTCAACATTACCCTTGACCCTAACCACAGGTGTGCTCTATCATGTACCAAAACACATCAGAAAAAAAGCCTAATCTGTGTTATTTGAAGAGGAAGGTATTAGATAGATAAGGATGTTAGCATTTGAAATTCAAGTGGTGGAAGGGCACATCATTTGCTTATGCAGTCTTCCTTTTGAAAGCAAATTTACTCCTTAAAACATGGTGTTGTTTCTGGAAAAGCTAAAGTCAGATTTGTTGGATGTAAATCCTCAGTTTGTCTCCATAAAGTGCAGCACAGACTTTCCTCCCACTGCAGTGTGTGATGTGAAATATCCATTGTCCAAAGGTATTGATTTCTCTAATAAAATAAGATTAGAGACATAGTGTATGGTAACCAGATCTCAGAGCATGTCTAAAGCTACTGTGGAATTACTGTTGGCAAAGCCTATTACTGCTTCTGTATAAAGTTAACTGTGAGGAGTTACATCTCTACCAGTACATCTAGGGCACCCAGTATTTCTGTACTTTTTATTTTTCTACAAAGTAGAAAGAATAGGACAAAAGGCAATTAATAACACATTGCTAATACATTGAGTGCCGCTGAGTTGATTCCATCTCCTGACTACCGCATAGGGTTTCCTAGGCTGTATGTAGCATTTACAGCATGAAGTTCTTTTCCAGAGACTGGTCCCTTATAACATGTTCAGAGTCCATGAGATGAAGTCTTGTCATACACACTTCTAAGGCACATTCTGGCTGTACTTCTTCCAAAACAGGTTTGTTTTGGACATTTATTTGTTCTTCTGGTCTATGGTACATACATGCAGTCCCCAGGTTACTAATGTCTGACTTACAAACACTTGTACTTGCCCTTTAATGTTATGTAATTTTGCCCTCTTCTTTGAGAGGACTCAACTAATCCCTACTCCTAACAAAGTCTCTGTCACAAACACTTTCACTTGCTGCTTGCTGGTACAGCTTTTAAATCATTGAAAAGGCTTTGAGCCTTTCTTTTTTTTTTTTTTATTAGGATTTGGGTGAAGATTTACAGAGTAAATTCACTTTTCATACAGCAGTTCACATATACTTTGTCTCATGTCATCGACCAAAATTTACAATGCAGCAGCTCCCCTCCCACTTCCTCCCCATAGTTACCTCCTCCCAGTGTCCATCCCTTCATACTCTTCGAGAGGCCCATTTTCTGCCAACCCTGTATATGATCTTGGATACACTCTCCATTTAGACATACATAATTGTTTAGCTTGTTCACCCATCTATCCGTCCCTATACCCATATTTGCTTTCATTAACAACTCAGTATTGTATTTACAAAGGGGTTCATATTTGTTGTTTGTACTGCCCATGTAACTCTCTCTGTCTTTCTCATCCTCAATGCTGCCATATTGGTCACTCACATTTGGTACATTGCCCTTCTCTTCACCCAAATCAATATTTATCTCTATCTATCTAACAGCATTCCCTCCCCTTCCCTCCCACCCCTGGTAACCAACAAAGAAAATGTCCTCCAATATATAAACATTTCCTTAACTTTTACAATAACGGACTAATACAATATTTGTCCTTTTGTGACTGACTTATTTCGCTCAGCATAATGTCCTCCAAGTTCATCCACGTTATGCGGTGTTCTGCAGATTCTACATTATTCTTTAGCGTTGCATAGTATTCCATTGTGTGAATGTACCAAAGTTTGGTTATCCATTCCTCAGTTGTTGGACATCTAGGTTGTTTCCAAGTTTTGGCTATTGTAAATAGTGCTTTGAGCCTTTCTTACCAACCAAAGTAAGGCTAAATAACTGTATGCATCTATTCCAGTTTACCTACAAATTTGACTTAAAGACACACTTAGGAATGGATATTGTATGTAACCTGGTGACTGCCTATATTCACTATTCTTCATAATTAGAATGCATCATGCTTGCTAAGGTAGAGGGTTAGTGAAAAAGAGGAAGACCCTCAAAAAGATGGATTGACAGTGACTGCAACAGTGGGCTCAAATATAGCAACGAATGTGAGGATGGCTTGGGACCAGACAGTATTTCGTTCTGTTGTAAATAGGTATGCTCTCATTTGGAACTGATTCGATGGCACCTACAACCATAACAGTATTTACAGAAGCAGACTGCCTGGTCTTTTTTCGCTTGGAGCTGCTGGTGGGTTTAAACTGCCAACCTTTCACTTTAACAGTTGAGTGCATAACAATTGCACCATCAGGACTCTGTGCTAATATATTACAGATTATCCTATAATCTGATGACTAGCGTATAAAAAATTTCAGATTTCTGATTGGTAGAGAATAATTTTTAAAGACATTCTTTACACCCCTGATGTACATTTCAGAGTCCCAGCTCTGAGCAGTTCAGCTACTGCAGGATTATGGCATTTTTACATTCCGATTTCCAGCTTAAAACTGGGTTATGCCTTCTTACCCTGGGAGGAAGACAGTCACAGAGGCTCTCTAAATATGAAATTGCCCTAGGTGTTTATAGTAGTATCCCTGGAAGTCCAGAGGCCCCAGCTTTCCTAGTGTGGAGAGTTAGGTGAATTGATGCCCTGGGAAATTCTGAAAAGTTGTTACCCCTCTCCCACTCTCCTCACAGTGGAGGTTTATGGCAATGGAGAGCATCTGGAGGGTGAAAATCTGGATTATCTGTCTTTTCAAAAAAGATTCCCTTTGATGAAATTAATTGCTCTTTTCCATGCCTGATTAACTTTTAAGGGCTTAGTGTATGAAAGCTTCTTGAAACATATGGTCTCTTGACAGTCTGTTTAGATGCTGCATGTAGCTCCAGTTTGCATGACAGACATCATGTGTGTGTAATGAGATATAAGGTATTAGCAATTAATAAGTATGTGTCCAACCTTGGAAAGTATGGAACAACCAAGAGAATTATTTTAAAAGGTTGTGTTTCTCTGTTATTTCCAAGTAACTTGAGTATCTTAGAATAACTGGAAAAATAAGTCTTTGTAACCTGAAATTGGGAACAGCGAAATGTTTTTTAATGGCAGGCCGTGATCACATGTGGATTGAGACAAAAATCTATTCTGTGAGTTTGGGACTTCTTTTTTCTTTGTTTGCTACTTGACATATATTGCTCTATTTCTTTCAAAGCTGATGAATCATGCTCTAAATTCCTGTCCAGTACATCTCACATTGGTCAACTTAAGTACATTTCAAAAATTTGATACGATACCAATATCACCAAAACATACTTTGAAAAGGAAATTATTATAAATATTCTTGAAATAATATATTTTGGGACTTTAAAATTATTGTTACTCCACACTTTAGTGTAGAAAAGAAATTATCTGTTACTTAAAAGTTCCATAGCATTCTGGGTCACTACTACATGTGTAGGAAGGAGCTCTGGTAGCATAGTGCCTAAGGCACTCGACTGCTCACCAGAAGGCTGGCGGTTCAAACCCACCAGCCACTCCTCGGAAGGAAGGTTGGGCAATCCTACTTCCGTAGTGATGCTGCCTCGGAAACCCAAGGAGGGGTCGCTGTGAGTCAGGGCTGACTCGACGGCAAACAACAACAACAACAACTACATGTGTAATTCTGGCCCAAACTGCAAAACACTCAAGTCCGTCTCTTTAGAATCTTTCTCACTCTCTCTCCTGCTCCCTAACCCAGGGCATCTTCTCCAGTTCTTTTCAGTTGCTCACTGAGGACCTTAGGGCTTAGGGCTTAGGACTCCTTTCTACGGTCTTCATTCTCAGAGTTTCCCCTTATTTTTGCTCAGGCATAACATTTGTACTTACCGTCCTTCCTAAGACAGCAGCTCCTACTGCACTTCTGGCCAGTACTTTCAGAATAATATTTCAAAAACTGGGCTCCCAGCTTTTGAGATTCTTCCAGGTCAACTAGAAGACCTGGGAAGCGACGGATCCAGCAGTCTCTGTAAAAAATTGTGGGTGAGCAGAGAGAGTCTGATGTCCATCCCATACTCAGGAGCAATATCACATCTGCGGTCACCACTGACACATGCATTTCCCTGGTATGAAGATTCAGCAGTAAGTCTGGTTTCCAGACAGAAGCCAGAGCTGACCGGGAAGGTCTAGGATATTCTCAGGATCTTTGAGGCTTTTGTTAAGAGAGAGCTTTCTTAGGATTCTTCTGGAGGGTTACCTTCAAGAAAAATGAGGCCATTCTTGGACTGCATATTGATTTTTCTTTTGTTTCTTCCCAGTTGTGCCTCAGATGAACGTTTGACTTTTTAGCGTCTTTTATGAGCACTTTCCAGGTTATTTCAATGCTTTGTCCCTTAGCCTCTTGAAGAAGTAGCTTCTCTCCTCTGCTTTCCTTCTTTCTCTGAAGGTGAATAGTCACAGACACCTTTTACAAGGTAAATGGAAATCCTAGTCAAGATTCTTTTCTGAGGAAAACAATAATTTAGTCACTTGAACATCAGATAAAGGAAAGATCTGTTTCACCAGAAACAAGACATCACTTTGTGAGGATACTTAAGGAACTGTGACTACAGGTTATTGTTCAATCATCTCTTGCTCTCGTTCTCTTTTTTCTTTGAATTAAAGTTATGGTACTCAGGTTCACTAGAACACCAGTTTTGAACACTAGTTTAAACTTTTTGTATTTGCTAATAAAACTTAAAACTAAAATAAAATTTAAAATCTTAACTTTGCAGTGATGGCATATTCAATCTGGATCCTGGTCCTTTCTTGGGGTTGCTTATTTTTCATAAAGGCCAGCCACAAGCTATCTTCTCAGACAAGGAAAGGAAAACAAAACCAAAAAACACTGCCATCAGGTCATTTCCAACTCATAGCAACCCCCACTGAGTTTCCAAAGCTGTAAATCTTTATGGGAGTAGATTGCCTCATCTTCCTCCTACAGAGCACCTGGTGGGCTTGAACCACCAAACTTCTTGTTAGCAGCCAAAGACCTTACCCACTTTACCACCAGAGCTCCTTCTTAAAAGAAGACTAAACATTCAACCAATGGAAAAAACATGCTTGTAATGGAGATGGACTGCAACACTCATTAAGGCAAGTACTGTTCAAGGAAGAATAACAAGTATAATTTACAGTGAAGATTGTGAAGAAGTTCAAATTGGGGGTTGTCTAATATAGTTTCTGATATTAATGTTCACAAGTTAAAAGGGAAACACCTTTGTGAAGTACAAATATAAAGGAATACAATCTCTGAAGCAAACATATTTACTAAGAAATGTGCATAAAGAAAATGGTGACATCGTTTTAAATTTCTAAATATTACTAAAATTATGTCAATTGCAATAAAAAAAAATTTGAAAACATATTAAAGGCAGTGAAAATGGCCTCTTGGCTTTTGTTAAGGTTGTGGATTCCATATCCCATGATGTCCAAAGAGACAAATTAGTTCAAAGCATAAAACTTTGCTTTTCTGTACTCATTTTTCTACCAAGCATTAGTGACAGTAAGTTTCTGGCATAAAGTAGTGTACTATTCATTTTTTCTTTTCTTTTTAAGTTTTTCTAACCTGAAAATCTTTGTTTCTTTCATACTTTTTACACACTCACTCACTTGATACAAAAATGTTGTTGCTAACATTTTTTGTACTGTCTTCTCCCCACCTGTTTCCTAGTAATAGGTAGTCTAATCAACACGTATCTATTGGTTTTTAGAAACAATAATAATGAAGAGGAAAAATATTTAAAATACTAATTTTAAAAACAAAACATTTTACTTTGTTCTGAGCAAAATTATATAAAATACTAACACTTAGCCTTGTATATAAGTCATGTAAATTGCAGTAAAAATGATGAACGTTTTATCCTTATGAACTCCATATAGGAACCAAGTTTCAGTTGCTTACCTGGAAACAGACTATTCTGTCTATTCTGAGGGAAGAAGGAAGAGGTTTTCTAATGGCAAAGCAAGAGACAGTTGAGTAACAAAAAATTACTCCTGCTTTTCAGTGGGATTCCATAGTGGTTTGTATTAGGACATGCCCCTGGGACATAAACCAGAAAGTCTACTTTCCTACCTTTTAACCTCCAAGTCTTTCAGCCACATGAAATGTAGTTCTTTTGTGTGATTTATAGTTCCTTGAAGTTCTCATGTTTCCTTCAGGACTAATGGAACAATCCACACCTGTTTAACCCTTTTGCTGTCAAGTGATGTTCAAATGGAGATCAGTTTTATTTTAAAGAATTACAAAGTCCAGTGTAAAACCATGCTTTAAACTTTTAAAAACTTCTGTGATGATTTCATAAACAGAGTCTGGAAATGGGTAACTTCTTGGGGCCAAGTATTTTGAAAAGGAAAAATAGAAACTGGATACAGGGGCAAAGGGAGGAATCCATGACAGTCTGAGATACGTGCCACAGGAATATCCAGTCTCAGAATTTGGGAGTCGAAACTGCAGAAACCAGAAGCAACTGGAACTCTGAATCAAAAATTGCTTTATAGCCTTTGTACAAATCTCATCAAATATCCAGAAGCAGAACCATACTGTAATTCAATACTCCCTCGTTTATTTCCAGTAAGGTGCTAAGAGGGAAGAGTTAAAACAGTTACATTTATACCATGAAACCAATAGTTTTTACTCATCTCCCTTACGAGCTTGAGTCAGTAGATCTGATGTGGGAACCAGGATTCTTATTTTTACAAGTGTCCCAGACGATTTCTTAAGATATTTGGAAAACACTGATAGAGATGAGTGAAATAATGAGAGTTTTGCATATATAAGGATGATCAACTTGAATTAAATGGAGCTATTTTAAGACCTTGTGCTACCTTTAAATCATTTACATTGCCCTATATGCTTTAATCTCAGAAGGAAGATGGCGTAGTCTACTTCTGTAGTGATGTTGTCCTGGAAAGCCACAGAGGGGTCACTATGAGTCAGATCCAACTCGTTGGCAGTGAAGTCTGGTGCTTTGGATAAGGAAGTCTGGTGGTGTAGTGGTTAAGGCATTTGGCTGCTAACCAAAAGGTTGGTGGTTCTAACCTATCACCTGCTCTGTGGAACAGCGATGTGGCAGTCTGCTTCCATAAAGATTTACAGCCTTGGAAACCCAGTGGGGGTCACTATGAGTCAGAATAGACTCAATGGCAGTAAGCTTTGGTTTGGTTTTTGGTATATGCTTTAATGGCAGTGAGTTTTGGTTTGTTTTTTGGTATATGCTTTAATGAAAGGAAGAGATTTCAGTTTTACTTGTTAAAAAGCAAAAAGTAAGTTGTTTTGGGAAAATTCCTAAAATTTAGTCCTAAAATTCTTCAGGGGCTAAATAGAGAGAAATAATTTTTATCTCTATTTAGATAAAGCAATATCATAGGTTTATTAAATTCAAAAGACAATTGAAAAACAGTCAATATTTCACCCTTATGCTAAATATTCAAATTGTATTATTCAGACTCATAGCAGCCCTGTGTACAACAGAATGAAATACTGCCCAGTCCTCACCAAACTCACAATCATTGCTATGTTTCAGCCCTTTGTTGTATCCACTGTGTCAGTCTATCTTGTTTAGAATCTTCCTCTTTTTCACTGACCTTCTACTTTACCAAGCATGATGGGGACTGGTCCTGCCTGATAACATGTCCAAAGTATGAGAGACCCTCTTGCTTCTAAGGAGCATTCTGGCTGTACTTCTTCCTGGACAAATTGGTTTGTTTGTCTGGCAGTCCGTGGTATATTCAATATTCTATGCCAACCATAATTCAAATGTATCAATCTTTTCAGTCTTCCGTATTCTTCACTGTCCAGCTTTCACATGCATATGAGGCGATTGAAAATAACATGGTTTGGGTCAAGCACACCTTATTCTTCAAAGTGACTTCTTTGCTCTTCCATACTTTAACGAGGTCCTTGCAGCAGAAGGAGGTCTGGTGGTGCTGTGGCTAGGGCACTGGGCTAACCAAAAATTCAGTGCTTTGAACCCACCCCCCACTCTGCAGGAGAAGGGTGAGGCAGTCTACTTCCATAAAGATTTCCAGCCTTGGAAACCCTGTGGGGCAGTTCTACACTGTCCTCTAGTCCTGATGGGTCAGAATTGACTTAATGGCAGTGGGTGGTGGTGGTTATGTAGTAGATTTGTCCAATGCAACATGTTGTTTATCTTAATTGCTGTTTCCATGAGTGTTGATTGTGGATCCAAGTAAAATAAAATCCTGACAACTTCAGTCTTTTCTCTGTTTATCAAGATGTTGCTTAATGGTCCAATTGTGAGATTTTTTGTTTTCTTTATGTTGAGGTATAATCCATACTGAAGGCTATAGTCTTTGATCTTCACCAGTAAGTGCTTTATTTCATTAGCACTAAAATTAACAAGTTGTTAAAAAAAAAGGGGGGGGGGAGGCGGAACTTGAGAAATGTAAATGTTATTAATTTTTCTTTTAAAAATGTATTTTTGCTTTTCTTAAATTGATATGTTTATTTAAGAAAACCCAAGTCATATAAAAAAGTACAAAACATAGAAAAACTATTCAAGTCCACACAATTTTAACATTTTGGTAAGCTTTCTTTTAGAGAGCACTATTCAACCAGAAGGCTGGTGGTTCAAACCCACCAGCCACTCCTCGGAAGGAAGATGGGGCAATCTACTTCCATAGTGATACCGCCTCAGAAACCCAAGGAGGAGTCACTATGAGTCGGGTCCGACTCGACGGCACATAACGACAACAACAACAACATTCAAACACACACACACACACACATGCAATTTTGCATAAATGGAATCATACTTTGTATGTTGTTCTATAACCTGCTTTCTAAAAACCCAATGTAAAATATCTTTCAGTGTCTCTAAAGAGATCTACACATTGGATAAATATACCACAGCACTGTAGTTTCCTCACCTATAAAATAGTATAAACATAGTATTGTAATCCATATAGAACATTTTCAGCAGTGCCTATCACACAATAACACTCAACAAATGTTAGTAACTATTATAATTGTATAATATGTTGCTGTCCAAATTTTCATTATTAAAAGCAATACTGTGATAAACATCTTGTAGTTATTTTTTTTTTCCCACTTGCTAG